TTCTTGGGTCCGGCTCGGCGTTTACACAGGGTCGCAACAGCATGGCACTGGCCCGAGACGAGGCGGCCAGGCCGAGAAAGAGCCTCCATTTGCCCCGCACCAACCTTATCGACCTTGAAAGCGAAGACACCCTGGATACCACCGCCACAGACAGATCTGGTCTGCCGGCCCTCGACACTCGCATCGTCCCGCCAATAGCTGCACCAGCTGCCAAAGCCGAAAAGCCGGCGTCGCCCTCGCTCGTCAACGCGAAAAGGCCGAGCTTCAACTTCTTGCGTCGTCCCAGCGCCGCTAGCATCAACTCGAACGCAGAGGCGGCGAGTGGCGAGCGACGAGGATCTCGAGGGTCTACAAATGCATTCGCACGCACATTCATGAACCGTACGTTGAGTCGCAACAGCAAGGGCTCCGACACCCCATCCGACTCTGCTCGAGCCACTTTGTCGTCCACGGGCGACTCGGCCACTCCCATCTTCCGCAACGGCATCTTTGATTCTCAGGTGCCCGTCTCGACATCAAACATGGCGTATCCTGGCATGTCACCGACTGTCAACTGGAACACTTCAGTCGACGTACCGCCAGCTGCGCGTGCTGACGTCGCCCCGAACGAGATTGATCCAACCGTAGGAATCCCTCCCTACCCCGGATCAGCAGCCAGCATGCAGCCTCGGGGAGCAGTGGCCGAGCTGTCCTCGAGTGTGCTCGCCGAGCGCAGACCCTCGCAAGGCATCGACCAAGAGCAGGATGCCGTCGAGGCCACCGACACGGTTCCCGCTCCGATGGAACGAGCGGCGGTGCCACCCACGAGCGCTTCGCAGAGCACCGATTCGAACCCATCTCGTCAGCGACAGTCTCGCTCGAGCAACGCTTTGTCGCACCTGCCGCGACTCAATTCGATGCGAGCGATTGGCAAGCCTGGTTCTGCGGGCAGTCAGCAAGCGTCGGCCGGCGTGGTAAGGACCACGCGAGAGGGCTCTGAGAGCACCAACGATGGCACTACACCTGGCGAGACGAGTGAAGAGGAGCAGGAGCTCAGCGAGGACGATGAAGAAGCTGACATCACGGGCCAGACGTCCGACTACCAAGATCTCGACACCGAGACGGACGACGAGACCGATGATGACAACGACCCGTCGCCGGTGGTTAGCCGTCGCGTGTCAGCTGCCCCTATGACTGCCACAGGCAGCTCGGGAGGGCTCAATCGCAATCGTCCAACCGAGTCTCTCATCCTACCTCCAGCACCTTCGTTCGTACCCAATCCCACGATCGCTGCGCCGCCGCAAGGCGCTGGTGCAGCTGCATCGACGGCTGGCACGAGCGCATCATCGGATGCCACCTTCACGCAGCACGTTGGCCGCGATACCTGGACGAGCTTCAACATGAACGGCTTTACGCCTTTCGAGACACCGACACCCAGCCTTGGCGGTGGCGCGAGCAACTTCGCGGCTCGAACGCCTCGAGCGCGACAGGAGCTGTCCGAGTCTTCGTACTTTGCCGCCCGGCCGGGGACGAGCAACAGCGGCCGAGCAACGACGGCCGGTACGATGAGCGGAGACGTTCCGCCGCCGTCTCCGTCCATTATCAGCCGGTCGCGTGCGCCTTCGTCAGCGAGCATGCGGACGCTCAGGACGCCGGGAAACACGTCGACGAGCTCGGGCCCTGTGCCCAATCGCTCGATGCCCACTCCAGGAGGCAACCTGCCCTCGCTGGCTCTGCATAGGCAGATCTCAGCGGCGTCGACGGCGACGCGGACGGGCATCGAGCGAAGCAAATCGCCGGCGCTCGGGGCAGGCAGCAGTCGACCGAGCACTTCGGGTACGCTGACTCCCAAACAGGCGACGGCTGGCGACCGAAGCGCGAGCCGCGAGCCGAGCATCGACCGCCCAGGCTCGGAGCGACCGACATCTCGTAACGAGATCTCTGCCACTGCAAAGACGAATGGCCGAGCCCCGATGGCTCTCCGAGGCGTTTCGCCCTCTGGCGCGCGACCGACCTTCTATCAGCAAAAGTCGCAATCTCTTGTGGATCTGATGGGCCCCGCCTCGCGTCGGCTCGAGATCGACACGCATKCTGCTGCTGCTCCACCGACGATCTTGGAACCGACGGCGACGGAAGCGTTGCGCACGCCCACGACGCCGCGCCCACCTTCGGAGGCGCCGGCATACAGCAAGCGGGACCTGCTGGAGCCGATCAACACGAAGCTGACGGCGTCAGCATCGATCGCATCGCCGGGCGCCATGAGTCTGGGTCGACGAAGGTCGATGTTCGAGATGCGGGCGGAGCCGCCGCCGTACTCGATCATTCACAACCGGCCCGAAGGACCACAGGTGATTCTGCCGCGCGAAGAGGAGGGACGAGAGAAGCTGCCAACCTACTGCTGCGGCATCCACATCGAGGGGTATCTGCCGCGCAAGATGGAGTTCTCAGCTCCAGGCGTGCAGGCCAAGGACCGCAGCTGGCGGCGCCAGTACTTTGTGCTGCACGGCACGAGTCTGCGCGTGTACAAGAACGACCTGAGCGTCGAGCGACACGCTGCGACTGGCACGTGGGGCGAGATGAAGGGCGTGCACGTGCATCTGGAGCCGATGAACGAGGACGGCTCCAACCACTCGGGGTCCGGGATGGGGCTGGGTGCGGCGGCGCGCGAGGCGATCTCGCACACGCCGCTGGGAAGCCATCGAAACGAGTCTGGCAAGGGCAAGGAGGCAAGCACGCAGTTCGACAGCAAGAATGGCCTGGTTCGCAACTATACCCTGCAAAGCGCCGAGAGTGGACTGGCGGCGGACTACCTCAAGCGTCGACATGTGGTGCGCGTGCGCGCCGAGGGCGAGCAGTTTTTGCTGCAAACGCGAAGCGACCGTCATGTGGTGGACTGGATCGAGGCGCTGCAGGCGGCCACGAATGTGTCGATGGACCTCGAGTCGCGAGCGATGCCCAAGTTCATCACGCTGCCGCGACGACGACGCCGTCGCCGCCGCAACGCGGACGGCACGACGCTGACTCCCGAGGAGCAGGAGAGGCGCGATCTTGCCGAGGCGCAACGACGCTCGATGGCGGAAGCCGGCGGGCAGGCAGCGGGCACGAGCGAGGCAACTCCGCGGACGAGCACGTCGCAGACGGCACGTCAAAGCATGAGCCTCGAGAACGAACTCAATCCGAGCGCGGCATTCGAAGAGATGCTGCGCGAAGACCAGGAAGAGGGCGGCCGGCGCACCGCAGCCGTCATGTAGTCTCGTTGCCTGAAGATCAGATGTGTTGCGACGGAAAGTTCAATAATATCCTTGTGCCATCATATGTATCGTTCGATGTGATGGCTGTGCGTCTCTTCGCCGTGTGGATATGGTCAGAGACTATCGCATACATCGGATCGGGACGAGTTGAAGAGGATTCGGGCAGCGAGATTGAGATCCATGGAGGTCAGCTCGCGGTGATGTGGAGGGCTGGAGCTGTTTCGGGAAGGGAGGGCTCGGCGGAAGGTTTGAGCCGGGCTCGCGCGCGGTTTCAGGATGCGGCTGAGCGACCATGCGGTCGGCGAGAGTGCGAGGCTGACGATGAGGGATTGGGGCGTGGGAATTGTCGGCCGCAGAGGCGAAGGCCGGAGAAGGAGAAAAAGAGGGGAGGATTTCCAACGCAAGCCGGTTGGTGCTGACTCTTTTGAGGGTGCTTCGGAATTGACCTCATGCACGGGTGCCGCTTGACACTGCAGACGGCACGAATCGCACCCACAGCCCCACACAAGGCCCTCCGCTTCCGGCCGACGTTTCAATGAAGCTCTCTTCCCGATCCTTGACGGGAAGGTCAGGTCATGAATCAAGAAAAAGAGGAAGAAGACGAGGAACGGATAGAGACAAAGTTGGCGCGCCGGGCTGCCGGGAAGAGTGCATCGTGTTCGGGAGGAGCATGTTGGGGCGCTGGCGCTGAAACTCCGCGGATGTTGGCATGGCTGTGACGCGACTACCCGTAGCATAGAGCACGCCGCGTCACGCAGCGTCCAAACGCAGCCGGCCCCTACGCCTGGCAAGTGCGGGACAGAAAGAATGCGAACACAATGAAGAGCTGCCTCCGCGCTTGGACTAGGCCGGAAACACCGAAGCTTGCAAGCACGCTAGAAGAAAAAGGAGCTGGTGGAAGGGCATTCCGATGTGCATGCAAGTCGAGAGTAAGACCATGCAGGTCAGCAGCCGCGTGCATGCGAGCGAGGCCCGCCACTTTTCCAGCTTGAGGCCGCCTCACCCTCGCTACCGATTAGGCTCACCCGCTCCACTAAGAGTCAGCATTTCACACACACAAAACGCACACGCACCAACGCCCCGCTCCACTTTTTTGGGCGTCCGCCCGCGGCTGCACGCTTCAGTCACAGCACTCAGGGCGCCTCTCCAAGCCTCGCCATTTTGTGAGCTCTTTGTGCTGCTAAGTTAATGTCCGGGATCGACACTCTGCCGCCGCTGCCGCATCGCATCGCATCACATCACAGCGCAGTGCCTGCCATCGCCAGCCCACCAAGCCCGCCAATGCACACGTCTCCTTAGCGTCTTGGCACACACCCGCATCCCAAGCCTCTCCTTCTTCCACCATTCCGCTCTTGCTGCGTGTCCAGCCCGTCTCGCCCGCCGGCCGCATCCTGCACCCTCGTCCTTCCTTCCGTCCCCGTCGCTATCGTCGCGTCTTCACACGGCCCTTCCACTTAGGCGCGACACGCTCATCCACACGCTCGACCGCTGGGCTTGCTCTGGAAGCAGCTTCTTCCACCATCTGTTGCATTGACCTGTTGAGCAGCAGCCGCACCGTCGGCCCTTCTTCTACGCCTTCGCCAGTCCTGCTACCTTCCTTCCCTCCCAACTCCACCTCATCACCAACATGAATGCCATCAGTTGACCCTGCTCCACTCATCCACCTCGTCGCCCACCAAGCACCTGCCCTCAACGGCTTCTCTGCAGCAGCTCGTCCGACCGACAGCACGGCCGAGCGGTCCAGCTGCGTAGCGGCATCCCCCATTCACCATGTCGCCCCTCTCGCCTTTCGGATTTGGACAAAAGCACTCTTACTTTCACGTTCAGCTCACCATTCACGAGCTCACCAACGTGCCTTTAGTACATGGCCTCTTTGCCTGCAAGTGGAAAGTCAAGGGCGCACACTCGCTCGCCAGCTTACAGCACTCGGCTGCCGCAGCCGTACACCAGCAGACCACTCGCGTCGTGTCCGGTGTCACTCGCAAACATCATGGCCCCCCAAGCAAGGAACCCTCCGGCACTTCCTCATCCGCACACCCTACTAGCGACATACATGCCATCGACCACGACTCGGGCGCCACCGCCGGCCTCTCTCTCGGCCCTCCACATGCGCACAAGCAACGAAACGCCGGCGGCTCCAGCGATGCCGCCTCCATCCTGAGCGCATCTAGTCGCAGGTCCAATCACCACACCATTCACAAGCCCGGCTTCCTTTCCAACCTGCTCCATCACAAGGACAAGGACGCAGACACGCCTTCCGACCAACAGTCTTCGCCCCCTTCGCCAGACCCTGCGCCCTCGGACGGTGGCGCGTCGGTCACTCCTGCTTCACCGGATAATCCCCTACCAACGCCATCCAGCCCCACAGTCTCGCGACGCGACAGCACCACAAGCCGCAAAACATCTGCGTCCAATGCAAAGTCGACCAAAGACGCCGCACGCCACAAGTCGTTCGAGTCGCATGACCACAGTGTAGACCCCCTCCTCTTCTTCAACCAGGAGCCCAAGGGTGAGACCGAATTTGTCAAGGTGCACGAACATCGCGTCGATTGGGAACGAGATGTCCAGGTCGGTCTCCGCGTCGGTATCGGCAAGCCCAGGACTTCCGGCCAAAGTGACTCCTCGCCTACTCACAGCCACCACGATAGTCCGGCTGTGTCCGCCAAGTCGAGCGCCAAGGATCTACGCAGTCGTGCTCTCCGCGACCAGCACCTCGAAGACTTATCCACAGCCTGGGGTCGCCTCGTCAATTCGGAGCTAAAGCTCACCATCAAACAGGAGATGCCCGAACACACGAAATCCACCACTCATCCCTCAGTCCTCGGCCACATCCTCCTTGACCTCTCCGAATTTGCACCAGAGCCACCGCAACTCGGCTCGAGCGGGCGGCACCCCCATCACCACCACCACCACCACCATCATCACCATCATCACCATCATCACCACCACCACCATGGTCAACATGGTCATCACCACCATCACCATCACCACCATGGTGAACACTCGTATCGCGACCGCACCTGCCGTTCTGAGACGAGGAAGTTTCTCCTCAATGGCAGCAAAACCAACGCCACCGTCAAGCTCACCATCACCATGACATACCTCGGCGGCGCCCGCGAGTACTACGTACCGCCCATCTCCAACGGCCTCATGGTCAATGGCCTTGGATCCATCGTCGCCCCGTCTTTGCTCGAGATGCATCACGATTCGCCAAACGCTCGAGCTGGCAGCGAGCGTGCTTCGTCCAACGGCGGCAGCTCCGAGAGCAGCAGCCTCCGCAACGAGCCAATACGCGCAAGCGCATCCATCCGCAACCAGTCGCTCGTCGGCACGGGTCTTCCAAGTGCCAGCAGTCTCTCGCTGTCCCACATGAACTCGTCCTTCCATTCCCAGCACAATCTCTACGGCCCTCCTCTCAAGTCGATCTACGCCAAAAAGACTTGGTCCAATCGCATCCCCACCGAGAACCTTGCCTCGGAAGCCTCTGGATCCGAATCGCACGCGAAGAAAAAGTCGAGTCGGGCACCAGAAACTGCTTTTTACCTGGGCCAGACTCAGGCCGATCGCGCGCCGGACGACGTGGTCAACGCCATCTTCAAGGGCATCCCCGTTGGCGGCAGCCACAATGGGCAGCTCTCCGAAAGTGGACCGTCGCTGCGACCTCTGTCGGCTCGCACTGTCAAGAGCTCGCGTCCAGCTAGTGCCACAGAAGCTGCGGATCGAACGCCGCTGCAAAAGCCCAGTAGGACGCCCGACAAGGTGCGTCCTCGCGTTCGCACCATGAGCTCGGCTTCCAGCCTTTCGAAAAGGTCGGAACGCTCGTTCTCTTTCGGACTCTCGCGCTCCAAGGACAAGGACAAGGAGAAAGAAGTTGCCAAGCAGCGGGGAAAGCTACTCGAAACTGACAAGGCAAAGGGCAAGAAGGGTGGCGCCGAACGTTCCAAGACCACGTCGAGCGCTGAAGCTGATAGTCCGACGGCTGACAAGGGCCAAGGATTCCATCTGAGCGTGCCAGGCCACGGTCCTGGCAAGTTGTCCTCCGGCCGTCTTGTCGAGTCGCCCTCGGCTTCGACCGAAGCGCTCTCTCAGTCCGGCACAAGTGCTACGCGCGTTTCGGCAAAACGCCTCTCGTCGGTGCGATGGAACATCGACGGCGATGACGCTGCTTCCGATGAATTGAGGCGCTCGCAAGACACGACTCCCGTGGCCGAAACATTCGATCAATACGAGCGCGACCGAGCCGCCATGCCTCCACCTCCCTCTGTGGTGGTCAATCATGCCTACATCCCGATCCGAGCTGGAGGCATCACTGCCGCCTCTTCCTCCGCTATCAACTTAGTCGACTCGTCAGCCGAGGCGCTTCCAGAGCAGGCTGACTCCAAAGCCGCTAGCAACGCCGACTTCCTCTCACCGCAGCAGCACTCCCGCTCGACGCCGTCGGCAGCGGCAAGAGACTCCGAATCTGCCAGCATTCGCTCGTTTGCGTCTTCGACGAGTGCACTTGATGAAGACAAAAAGCTCAAGACGAGCTCGCACGACCTCAAAGGTCTCTATCAAGCCGGCCTTGCGATTCCTCAAAGCCTGTCCACCAGTACTGCTGTGGGCCTGGATCGCATCAAGCGCACGAGTCGGGCAATCGGTCAATTCGCCAAAGACGCTGTCAATTCTGGTCGCCCCGGCTCACGACCCTTGTCGAGCTCTGGTGCAGCATTGCCGACCGACAGCCAGGGTGTAGCGGGTCGCGAGCGCAGATCCAAGGGCAACCGAGGCATCGAGCCCTCCGAAGCCGCGTCCAAAGGATGGCATGGCGCCGGATGGCTGCGACCCATCTCGACAGCTCCAGCACCGCTGCCTCCAGGCTCGCCAGACCTCTCGTCTGCGGAGAGCGATGGCGAGTTTGAGGACGCGGACGTGGATGAATCAAGCCCCGCCTATCGCCACCGTTCGTTGATCTCGCACAGCTCGGAAGGAAGGAGATCGTCAGCGACCGACCAGACGGTGAGCTCGGATGCCCCCGCGACGCCCAGCGCTGCGGCCGTCGAGACGTTCCGCCCAGCACACAAGCGAGACCAGTCGTTCGTCTCCGTCTATCACGACGTCGATGACGAGGACTGGCCAGAAGACTCGGCCAAGCTAATGGATCAGGCCATCACGCCAAGCGTGCTCCCGATGCAGGCGCACCCGGTCTGAGCTCGCCCCTGCCTCTGCGCAGCTTAATTTATACAGCACTTTATCTATAGTTTTCCCTGTCAATACCTCTACAGGCTCTGTCACCTTTCCTCTCTGTACTATTAATCAGCAGCTATGACTGCCACGGACATCCCCTGGCTGTGGTGTGTGGACCAGACAGAGGTCGACGTTGAGGGTGGTGGGCGGCGGTAGACTCGGGTCAAAAAAATTATCTTTGTTAGGGCGGACTGGCATGACATTCATGTTTGTGAAAAATCGAGTGGAGGTCTGACCGTGGCTCAAACGTCGCGCCAGAGTGTGATCGACCGACCGCGCGTCTCGAAGTGTTGCAGGGCCAGAGCACGGCTCATGCTCGCCAGCGTCGAGTGGAATTCGTTCATTCGACGTCCAGCATCTTCTGCTTCACACCATACCGGACCTCGAAACACCACTCGCTCCGAGCGTCATCTTCACATCTCATCTCGAAGGACTTTTCGACTTTCTTGTTCTGCACACCCAACCCCGTGTGCTTCGAATCGACATGCCGGAGCCCACCAAGACATCCAAAGAGGATGCTCCCGCAGTGAAGCCGACCGAGACTCCGGTCGCCAAGCCCCCCAGCGAGCGGGAGCAGCTGCTGGCTCTTCTGCGTCACAACTTTCTGCTGATCGAGCGTAGTGTCTCGCACATTGAGCAGCGTTTCACCGCACGTGTGCTGCGTACTCTTCCGTACGTGCGCAGAAAGATCAACGCGTATCCCGAAGTGCTTGCGTTCGCCGTCAATGAGGGCATCCTGTCCCACTCGGACGATGCCGTCCAGAAGCATCTGCTCGCCTTCCTGCCTCAGCCTTACAAGCCGGAAACCCCCACTGCGACCAGTGCGACCGGTGCGCCCACGGCCGCGGATGCCATGGACGTCGACACGCCCAACACCAAGGCCGAGGACAAGGCCGAGAACAAGGATGCCAAGGACGCCAAGCCCGCCAGCGCGCCTGTTGCACTGTCCAAGCCCACGCCGCGACAGCCCGAGGCTCAGCCTGAGCTGGTGGCGTACCTGCGCCTGCTGACGCTCGTGCACCTGATCGACAACAAGCAGCTCGATGCAGCATCGGACGAGGCGGTTGCTTCGATCTCGGCCATCACCGCTCAGAACCGCAGGACGCTCGACCATCTGGCGGCCAAGACGATCTTCTACCTGGGCCGTGCGGAGGAGCTCAAGGCGGAGGCGGCCAAGGCCAAGGGGGCGCACACCGAGGGTGGGCTGACGGCGATCCGCAGCCAGCTGCTGGGTCTGCAGCGTACGGCGTCGCTGCGCCACGACACGGAGACGGAGGCGACGATCATCAACCTGCTGCTGCGATCGTACATTGTGGAGGCGAATCTGTACGAGCAGGCGGACAAGCTGGTGGCGCGTGCGCCGTTCCCGCGCTCGAGCGCGAGCAACCCGCAGGTGGCGAGGTACGACTACTACGTGGGGCGCATCCGGGCGGTGCAGCTTGACTACACGCAGGCGCACGTGCATCTGCAGCAGGCGATCCGTCGTGCGCCCCAGGCGTCGCTTCCTCAAGACTCGACTGCGGCTGGTGAAGGTGCTGCTGCGGCGGGTGCGGTTAAGAGTGCGGTGGAGAAGAAGGAGAAGAAGGAAGAGGTGAAGCCGGTGGGACAGTCGCAGACTGCGGCTGGATTCTTGCAGACGGCGCACAAGTTTTTGGTGGTGGTCGAGTTGTTGATGGGCGAGATTCCGGAGCGATCGATCTTCCGCACGCCCGTGCTGCGCAAGGCGCTTGCGCCGTATCTGGAGATTGTGCAGGCGGTGCGCGTGGGCGATCTGCAGCGCTTCCAGGCTACGCTCCAGCGATACACGTCGCTGTTTGCGGGCGACAAGACGCTGAGTCTGATTGTGCGACTGCGACACAATGTGATCAAGACGGGCATCCGTATGATTTCGCTGTCGTACTCGCGCATCAGTCTGGCGGACATCACGCACAAGCTGCACCTCGAGAGCGAGGAGGATGCAGAGTACATTGTGGCCAAGGCGATCCGCGATAATGTGGTGGATTCGAGGGATACACGTGTGGACCACGAAAAGGCCGAAATGCTCAACAGGGAAACCAAGGACCTGTACGAGACCGACGAACCCATGCAGCAGTTCCAGCAGCGCATCCAGTTCTGCCTCCAGCTGCACAACGAGAGCGTCAAGGCCATGCGCTACCCGCTCAACGGACATAAGGCCGAACTCGCCAGCGTCACCGAGGCGCACGAGCGCGAACGTGAACTCGCCGCCGAAATCGCCGATGGCGACATGGACGACTCGGACGACGACTGGGCTTAAACCCCTTCCTCACTCGCAATTGCAATCCCCACCGGCTCCACTGACTCAATAAAATTTTACGATTCCATACAAATGCATGTGCGAGCTACGACTGGTGAGCCGTCGATGGATCGGGTGGTGCATCTGTTGGTGCATCCGCTGGTGCTTTGGTCGACTGCTCGTGTTGTTGCTGCTGCTGGCGCAGTTTAGCCGCTCTGCGCACCTGACGTTCGGCGGCACGAATCAGCTGTTCCGGCTCGCTGATGGGTTTCCTCTTGCCTCTGCCCTCGGCTGCCTCGGCTGGTGCAGGCGTCCCCTGCAGCCGCGCAAGCATGCTCTGTTCCTGCTCAGCCACCGTTTCGACTACAAGCTTGTCGCTCTGCACCAGGTTGCGCAGCGCAGCGTAGTGGGCATTGTCATTCGCGGTCTCACGCTGCTCGGGGTCGTAGATCGGTCGGAATACCAGACGCGTTCGCGTCGTCGAGGATCTTGTTGTTGCCCGCTCCCCCCGCCCCACTGGCGGAAGCGGTTCGAGTCTGTGCTGCTCGCTCGTGCGCGTGGGGTCGAAGTGGTCCTGCAGCACGATCTCGGTACCAAACATGTCCATGCGTCGACCGCGAAGGACGGTGTCGTCAATCTTGAGCAGCGGATGAGAGGTGTCCAGGCCGGTGATGGCGAGCATCTTGCCAGCGCCTAAGTGTGGGCCGGTGGCGCTGCGCCGCGACGTGGTGGAGGAGGAAGTGGCGCGTTTGGTGCGCTTGTCAATGTCGCCGGCACGGGTGCCGCGGACAGCACGCGATGTGGTGGGTGCGTTGTCGGCTTCGATGTCCAGACCAGCGCTATAGCCTAGAAGTGCGCGGCGAGCGATGCGCTCCTCGCCCAGATCGAGGACCACCAGCTCTTCGGTGTCTGAATACGACCAATCGGATCCGCCATCATCGGAAACAGCGCCAGAAGCCGATGACGAGGGATCAAACGGAGTGTGTGGGTGCGGGCGGTCGGAGAAGGTGTCGTCCGGTGCACGGTGCCATGACGAGTCGATTAGAGGCTGTTGCGACATCGTGCGCCTGAGCCGCGAGCCATGGAGGTGCAGAGACGGTGGCTTCCAGGGTGTTGGGGACGAGTTCAGGGTCCTTCGAAGGGTTGGATCGCCTTTTCTTCGGCGGCGGCGTGTCGGAGGCGCATGTGGAGGCTTGACCGTGCTGAGCTGCACGCCTGCTGAGCGGCTTGTACTGGTCGGTTGCGTGCGCCGCCCAAAAAAACACGGCAGCGTGGGCACCAAGCAGGCCGGCCCGCTTTCAACTCGCCAAAAAAGCGTTGGGTCCACGCATGATGGAGCCGGCAGCTGCTGCAGGCGGCGAAGGCGCAGCAGACTGAACGTGCCACCGTGTGTTGTGCTGCCGGCTCACCCGCCTCACCCCTAGCCCGGAACAGCCGCCCAACACTCGCCCTCTCTCTACATCACATCAAATCGCCTAGGACCTCTCCCACCATCACACTTCGGCCTACGATCGTCGGACCAGCCGCTACACCACTCATCCTTCGGCCATCCCGACGAAACCCAATTTCTCGATAAGTATGTTGAGATAAGCGGCATCGTGCTGCACGTTACCACCGGACCTGCAGTGGACCCACCCGCGCAAGTAGCAGCCATGCCTTTCTCTTGGACAACAGATCGTGCTGCGGCGCCTCCAAATGCGTCTGCAGCACCGTCGGGCCGCATCTCAGCATCGCCGCAGACACGCGCGTCTGGACATCGCAGGGGTCTGCCGCACTCGTCGTCCATCTCGTCGCGCCACAGCATCGTCAGCACCGAAGCACGCACCGCTGCCGCCCTCGCCGCTCCCCATTCCCTCTCGGTACCCAAGTCGGCCTCCTCCGCAGCTCTCACCAGCACAGACGAGAGCGACGACTTCCGCCGCTTCCTCGACGAGGCCCATGCCAACGACCAGGCCGCTCGCAGCTTAGGCGCTCACCCGCCGCAGCGTGCCGCGACGGGGGCAGCAGAGTCGCTAAGGAGAGTCACCAGCTCCTCCACGTTAAACAGCATGCATGATCAGCGCGTTGCACAGCCAGCACGCCCGGCGACCAGTGCAGCACCGGTGGGAAGGGTGCGCAAGAACTCGACGCTCTCCACTGCATCTCGAGCGCAGAGGTCCGTGTCCAACTACTCGATGAACTTCCGCAACCCGACAAGCCAGTTCCTTGAACACCTCTCCGCAGAAGCTCAGACGCCCGAGCTCGGAATCGACGACACTCCAGTCGCAGGGCGTGCGGTCGACAACAAGAGCCATCTCACTGCGCTTGGCCACGCCGCCCAGCTCCAGACTCGCACTGCCTCGGGGAGCCACTCAACCAAGACCTCCAGTGCAAAGGGCAAGGCCCCGGCAAACCAAGCACCCACAAGATCGTCCACCGCGCCGATTTCTACTGCGGCTCCGTCGCCATCCGTGCGCATCAAGCCCAGCGAGTCAGGCAACTCGGCAAGTTCAGCTTCAGCTTCAGGCTCGGGTTCGGCCCGATCCCCTCCTTCGAATCAAGCGACTCAAACACCTGGGACGTCGCCGACTGCTCGCCTCTCGCCGCTGTCGCCAAGGCGCAGGCCACAGAGCTACATCCACAAACCTCCATCCGAGCCCTCGGGCGTCGTTTCGCCGCGCAGGCTCGGTGAAAGTCGCCTTGGTCATGGTCTGCCCACTGCATCCCCGACCCAGTCCAAGCGCAGTGCGGACGAGATGGAACGCAGCTCCAGTCTCCAGCCCACCAGTCAGCCGAGCGAGCAGCCCCAAGCCGCGATTCCAGCGTCGCCAAGCCAAGCGTCCCGCAGGAAGACTTGGTTTGGTCTCGGCTGGGCCGCGGAGGACGACCCCGCTCCCGCTGCGGCTGACAAGCCGAACACTGAGGCTACGGAAGCTGCAAAGGCTGCAGGATCTGCGTCTGATCAACCGCCTCCTCCAATGAGCGAGGAAGAGGCCGCCTTCAGAAGATCCCTCGGCTACAACGATGTCTACGACCCAGCTGCGGATAAAGAACCCAGCGCCGGCAGCAATCCCGAACAGAAGCCCTTCCCTGCCGGTCGGGACTCGGACGTCACCATCAGGGCGGCGCAGGTACCTGCCAGGGATCGCCGCATCTCCTGGATCCCTTGGCGCAACCCCTCTGCTACCGTCGAGCAAGGCTCACAAGACGCCGCTTCCAGCAGTGCTGATACACCTGCGCACCAAGGGCAGCAACCTCAGCTGGGAGCAAACGCATCAAATACGGAGGCCCCGATTACACCGAAAGCGTCAGAACCAGTTGGAACTCAGGAGATGCACAGCTCTGCATCGCGCCAAGACGGCCAAGACACGGTCACGTACAAGACTGTCGTCAAACGAGGCTGGATGGGCGCGCGGTACGAAGTGCAGGAGCCCATGCCGAGTCTGCAGCACGCCTTCGATCCGCCGCAAACTAAAGACGATACAGGCCTGACAGCAGCATCGAGCGAACCCATGGAGCAAGACGCCGAGGCTGACGCTGCTCAAGACCATATCGCATACCCGCCAGCTAGTACCGCCACCACCGCCGATGCCAGACAGACCAGCGGCACTTGGAGGTGGAGGTTCTGGTCCGGCGCCGACGGGCCTACCCACGGCGATCAGGCCCCGGTTGCTCAGGAGCTAGTGGTGTCGAGCGAACCACCTCCAACTGACCCTGCGGGATCGACGCGCGTGGCGACCGAGCCTGACACAGCCGAGCCGATGGACATCGACCAGATCGGACCGCCCAACGATGCTCCGCACAATGCTGACTCGGCATCGTGGACCTACTCATCTTATGTCTCGCGATGGGTGCCCACCTGGGTGTACAACGCGCAGCAGCAGGATTCGGCGAGCAAAGATGTAGAGGGCCCGAGCGACCAAAATAGCGAAGCTGTGGCCGACAAGACGAACAATACAGACGCCCCCGCCCAGGCTCGTACTCCGGCAGAGCAGGTCAAAGCAGAAGCTCTGGCTCGAGACACTTCCGTCATCCCCTTGACGCCCAACAAGGTTGTCCTTAATAGCTCGACCAAGAGTGGCTGGATCAACTTTTTCGCCTCGCGCAGCGCAAACCTGCCCCGAGAAGCGCCCGAAGCAATCGGCAACAACGACGGCGTGGAGGTCATGGACATCAGCGACATGGATGCACCTGTCCAGGCCACCTCCGCTCGCGACATTGCCTCGCGCAACGGACGCCTGACGCCCGATGTGGCTCGAGCACCGAGGGCGAGGACCGTGACAGGCGGCAGCCTGGCCGGCTCCAAGGCATCTTCCTTCGCCAGCGAGTCGGACATGCAGCGCGCAGCCACTCCACTCTCGACCAGTAAGGACAGCGTCCGCAACCTCAGCAAGGCGGCCATCACCAAGGCTGCGAATGTTACCGCCGCGTCCACGCTCGGGCTCGGGAAGGGAAAGCGCACCGACGCATCAACATCGAACGCTACCGGATCCGGGACAGGCGAATCCTCAAGCGGGTTACAAGCTTCCAAGGATGCAGGCAAGGGTCTCGCACCCAATGGCTCGGGACCATCCAGGTCGGGTGCCTCGACGCCGACCAAGTCGGTGGCGGATCCTGTGTCTGCACCTCCGCCCAACCTTGTGTTGCCGTCGTTCGATGACACGTTCGCTAGGGCGCCGCGCATGTGGCCACCCAAGGTCGGTGTGCTCGAACGCACGCTCAGCGCGGTCAACAGCTATCTCTTCAGCAAAGTCCCGGATCTCGAGCGCATGAAGCGTCCCACGCGTTACTCGACTTACGGCGATTCCAGCCTGGGATCCAATTCTGCCACGTTCAAAGGGGCCGTATCATCTCTAGGAGGTAAGAAGCCTGTCCAGCGATTGGCTGGCAAAGCCAAGGCAAGCGGGCGGGGATCGAGCCTGGACAAGGGCGTCGAGACGGCGCTCAAAGAGGTGGCCGAGTCGGCACAGCGGCTGCCGCGAGCCTGGTCCACCGTTGGCATGCACGACCGCGCGCAGACCAGGGGCACGGCGGCTATTGGCAAGATTGTGGTGATCGGTGTGCATGGCTGGTTCACCCAGAGCATCTTCAAGAACATGATCGGCGAGCCCACGGGCACATCGGCCAAGTTCGCCGCGATGCAGACCGAGTCGATCCGACGTCACTTCCTCGAGGCGGGACTGGAATTAAATCTAGAGGCGATCACCGCCATATCGCTGCAAGGCGACGGCAAAGTGGCGGACCGCGTCGACCGGCTGTTTGCCGAGCTTATCAGCAGGCCCAAGTGGGTGGAAGACCTCAAGAGTGCAGACGCGCTGTTCCTCTCGGCGCACTCGCAGGGCGCTGTTGTGGCTACGCAGCTGCTGGCCAGGCTCATCGAGCAGAGACAGGTCAGGGCAGAGCATACGAGGATCTGCCTGCTGGCGATGTGCGGCATCCACCACGGGCCATTCGCGCATCTCAAGTCGAGCATCACCGCGAGCTACATCAACTACTTTGAGACTGCGGCAGCCAAGGAGCTGTTTGAGTTCCAGTCGTCCACCACGGCTGTGGCGCAGCAGTATACGGCGGCGCTCAAAATCGTGCTGGATGCAGGCGCAAAGTGCGTATACATCGGGTCGACCGATGACAACGTCGTGCCCGTGTATTCGGCGCTCAACCTGTGCAACAACCATCCGTCGATCCTGCGCGCGCTGTACATCGACGGCCAGGCGTTTCCGCGAGTCGACTTCCTGACGAATTTGCTGGTTCTCTGCGTCGCCGTGCGCAATGCTGGGCTCAGCGATCACAACCTACTTACCCTGCTGTCGGCGAGCGTCGCCGGTAGTCTCTACGGCGGCCGCGGGCACTCGCAGGTGTACGAGGAGAAGGCGGTGTACGACTTAGCGACTCGATACCTGTTCGAAGTCACCCACCCGCTTGCCGAGCCGACATTCGCACCGGGTCCACCTGGTGCGACGTCCTCCAGCCTCAGTACCTCAACCAACCCGGGGAAGCGGCCATCAACGGCGGAATCCGAGACGAGCAGGGCGGCGCTCGTGTCCGAGGCGTTCGAGGCACAGCGGTGGAACCCGTACGAGCTGCCGTGGGCGCTGCGTGGACTTTTCGAAGACAAGCATGTCAGGAGTCTGTTTGCGGAGGACATGCTGAATCTGCTCGAGAGCTACGAGCAGTGGCGGCCGGACCCCAAGTCCAAGGCGCTCAAGGATCTGCATTGGAGGCTGGCGCCCATGCGCAGCATCAAGCCGCCGCCCATCCAGGACGGCGAGGCCGACGCGGGTACGAGCACGGCCAAGGCAGAGGAGGCTGCGGTAGGCGAGACGGGCTCGAGCAAGAACTCGAAGCTGTAAAACGAGTGTCGATACCCAACTGTGAATTCCAACGGCATTTCATCTTGTGCGTCCCGGGCGTTGCCGCGGAATGATGGTTGGGAAGGTTTGGTGGGGCCGGGGGGTGGTGCTTTCAGGGCTACGCGTAAATTGAACGCGTGCGCGTGAGGGCGAGAAAAAGTTAGTTTTGAGTGACAGCCGCGTGGCGGCGGAACGTGCGAGGTGAAAGCACGAGTGAGGGAAGACCAACACCTCGGAGCTGTTCGGCGGTGCTTCCTTCCCAGCCGTTGCTCTGGAACCATCCCTACCTTTTCCGACGCGGAGACATTCTCGTTATGCTGATCTCGCTGATCGGACCGCCTGGTTCGGGCAAGGCGTCGGTGGCGCACTATCTCGCTACACAGCATGGCTTCGAGGTGCTGTGCACGGACAACGGCATCTGCGACGCACTAACCGCGTTCGGCTTAAGTGCAACTTCGTGTGGAGACGAAAAGGCCATGTTGGACCTTGTCACGGATCGGTGGCACGAGCGCTTTGTCACGCTGGACCTCACCACGGTGCCGGACATGGAGGCGTTCATCAAGCGACCGTTCTTCCTGTGCGTTGAAGTCGGGGCGCCGCTTCTTACGCGGTGGAAACGATACCAGGCCAAGCACAGGAGCCTCCCGCTCGAGAAGTTCGTTGCGCTGGATGACGAGATCGCATTCGGAAAGTCGACCGCCCAAGCATCTGCAAGGCAGCCATTGGTACGGTCTGGGTCTTCGGCGATGGGCGGCAACGGAATCGTCGACAACCTCGCCTCGGTCTCAATCTCGTCCCCTTCTGCGGGGCTCGCGGCATTGCGGCGGTACGTGCACGTCTCGATCATCAACGACTTTCCCGACCGCGACTCTCTCTACTCTCACCTATCGTCTCTCAATCTCCCCTCCGAGGAGCGACTGCGTCCATGTTGGGACAGCTACTTCCTCAAGCTGTGCAACCTGGCGTCGCTGCGTAGCAACTGCATGAAGCGTCGCGTGGGTGCGGTGCTCGTCTCGTCCAACCGCATCATCTCCACCGGCTACAACGGCACTCCCTCAGGCCTGCTGAATTGCAATCAGGGCGGATGTGCGCGCTGCAACAATACGCTCGAAAAGGGCGCCAGCGGCTGTGGGCAGAACCTCGACGAATGCCTCTGTTTGCACGCCGAGGAAAACGCCCTGCTCGAAGCTGGACGCCAAAAGATTTCAACGGGACAGGAGGGAAAGGGCGCAACCATGTATTGCAATACTTGTCCGTGCTTGCGGTGCGCTGTCAAGATCATTCAGTCCGGGATAAGGACCGTGGTGTATCAGCTCGAGTACTCGATGGACGCAAGAACCAAGGCCATCTTTGCCCAGGCCGGCGTCGAGATTCGTCAGTTCCACCTGGATACCTGAACAATACACATTCTTACAGTCCTGCACTCGGTCGATGCACGTGTGAGGTGGACGTGTGGCATTTGGCAGTGAAGCATGCTGTTCTACGCCGAGGTGGGTGGGAGGAGAAGGTTGATGATGCGGGTGGTCTCATCGTCAAGCGAGGCATTCGGGAGGGCAGAGTGGATGCGCCCAATGAGGCCCGTGGTGGAATGCATGGCGGACCGAACAAGCTCGGACCTGGCTGCTGCATCCGAAGACTTCGTCGCCCTCGCCGTTGCTGCAAGCACCTTGTCCAGCGCTCCGGCTCGGGACACGAGGTGCAGCGCCATCGCGACCGCAAACACGGAATTCGGCTTGACACCCTTTGCTTCCTCCACGAGCTGGTGCGTGTCCATGAACAGCGTGCGGCGGAACACCTTCATGTTGCCCACCACCTCGGCTCGCTCCGCGTCATCGACCCACTTTCCACCCTGAGGTTGCTTGGGCGCCTCGCCCACGAGCTGGGTGAGTGCGAATTCGAGCTCGGTCATATCGGTGGCGAGCCGAAGCTTCACCTTGTCCGCCTGCTCGGGCAGTGCCAGAAGACCCGCGTAGAGCAGGAAGCAGTGGGCAGCGGCTGCAGGCACCGCCCCTGCGAGCGAGATGCGCAACTGAGGCGGGTAGAGAGGGAGGAGGTGGTCGCGGAGGAAAGCGAGCGCATCGCAGACGTCCGAGATGTACGCCGAGGCGCCCGAGGTGGCATCGATCGAGACACCACGCTGGTGCACTGCACCACGCGATGCCAGCTGCACGTGCATCTTGCCCATGCGCTCCGCAACCGTCTGCTCGGCTGCACGCACCAACGGATCCAACAGCACGCGCCGCGTTGCACCGATGATCGTGTCGACAGCGGCGTGTAGGCGCGTTGCCGCATAGCTCGCGCTCGCAGCGTCCTGTTCCGCTGCCGCACCAGTAAGGCCAGCAGCGAGCGCGTGCGAGAAGCGCACGAGCGCAGCATTCCACGTCTGAGAAGCGCTTGCTTCAACAGCGCGGCCATCGACCAGCCACGCTGACGCATCCTCCGCAACCACCTTGTCGAGACGCGTAGCGTACTGCTCGACCAGCGCTGTGCAGCGGTCAACGACCGCGCGGAGCAGGAGCGGATCCGAACGCACGCCATCGACCGCATTGGCCACCAGCGCAACCACGCCGTCAGCCTCGCGACTTGCGTCGAGTGCGGTCCTGCGTGTGGGCGCGACGACCTGCGACAGCACCTCAGCCACCCGCCACGTTGCTTTGTCCACATATCCCTTTTCGAGCGGCGCCAAGCCGCACAGCAGAATCACCGTCTCGGCACTCTGGTGCGTCTGCGTATACTGCACGTCGGTGTACACGGTGATCTTGGCAAAGAACTCGTGCAGCAGCCTCAACAGCCGCATGTACCCGCCCATCACCACCCCACCCTGCGTGTTCTCGGCTGCGATCCCGCTCGACAGCAGCTGAGCCACCCAGGGCGACTTGGCCGTCGCTACGCCAGTCTGTTGCTCGAGACACTGTGCCAGGGTGCGCCAGAAGGTGTGGCTGGGCTTGTCACCAAGCACGTCGAGTGCGGCTGCAAGAAAGTTGACGCCCGTCTCGGCGTCCGTCTTGAGCTTGAGCACCTTTTCGAGCAGGTACACCTTGCTGCACACCGCGCCCATCTCGACGACGATGAGCGACTCGAGCCGCTTCCACAGTGCGTCGGACCACGCMTGCTGCTGCTGCTGCCGCGCGCTTGCGTCGTCCCTCCGCCGCCCGCCGCGGTAGGTCGAGTAGCTCGGATTCGACGCTTCGAGCGAGGGAATTGCCAGGCCGAGCTGGCGCGCGATAGCATCCAGATCGAGCGCAGCCGCTGTGCGCTCCCTGACCACCTCGGTCAGATCGTCCAGCAGGTCTTTGACCAGCGTGGGCAGCGTGCCGAGGTTGAACGCCGTCTGCAGACTCGATGCGAGCATCACCGGTGATAGATCGCGCAGCCCGCGCACGATCATGTCCTCCATATAGTCGACCACCGTCTTGCGCGCACTCTCGACCACAGGCACTACGTCCTGCACGAGCTTCAGTGCCAACAGACCGTCGCTGCCTTGGGGTCGCTCGGCGTCGAGCATGTCCGAGATCTCGTGGATCAGCAGAGCTGCCCGCGACAGATCGCGCCCATGCACCAGTCCCACCACCGCATCCTCGCCATCTGCCTCGGCAGCCTTGCCTGTCGCCGTGCCGTCCTTCTTGGCGAAGAGCGCCTCCATCTGTGTCTCGAGCCTCCTAGCAAGCCCGACGAATTTGACCGCCTTGGCGACAAGCTCGCCCGCACCGTCGTACATGCGCAGATCGGCCTGCAGCTCGGTGAGCCTTTGGAACGGATCGTGCACCTTGCGTCGCAGGCTAGCCACCTCGATGTCGAGCGATTCGACGCCTTGTTTGGTCTGTTCGAGCCCGTGCTGCATGGTTGCGAGGCGCGAGGTGCGCTGAAGCAGCGCGGGTGCATTGGCCGTGACCTGCGTCGAGATGGAGCGGTCCAGCTCTTCGATGGCGAGATTGAGACGAGAGATGGCGAGCGAGAGGTCGACTTCCTCCTGGTCCTGCTCGCGCTTGCGTTGCGCCGCCTGCGCTTTCGAGCTGCCCGCAGCTGCATCGGCAGTGGGCGCAGCTGCATCGGCAGTGGTCGCAGCTGCAGAAGGCGAGGCGAGCGAAATGCTTGTCCTTGATCCTGCTGCATTTTGCGCACTTGCTGGGAGAATGCCAGGGCTCGCTGGCTGAAGGAGCCCGCCTGGCGAGACGGCCAGTTTGGCGGAGGGTGTTGGAGGTTGTGCGGTAGAGCGCGCCACGCCGAGCTGTGCGTCGACGCCGCTAATCAGCTGGCTCACGTATGCCGCTGCATCGAATGAGGGCTGGAGGAATGTTGCGAGATCGCCCGAGGCAAGTGCTGGGTGTGCCGAGGATGCGACATGGTCTGTCGAGAGGGGCGACGAAGGCGGCTGCAGAGATGACGAGGGCTGGCGCGGGAGCCCAGGTGCCGCCTGCATCTCTGCGAATAGTGCTGTTGCTGGCCCTCCGCGTATGCTCGGGCTACAACATGCGATTGAAGCAGGTTCCAGAGAGGCTGTGATAGAGAGCCGGAGAGTTCGAGGTGTAGGATGAGGTAGAGGAGAAGTCGCGACTGCCGCTCAGGCCAACTCGGTGAGAAGAAGCACTGCACACATCTCCACGTCCCGGATCCCGAGCCTAGCAGCGGGCTCTCCAAGCTCAATTCAGAAAAAGCCTCAAAAAAAAGGGCTCAAAATTAGCCTTAAAAATAACCTCGGGCCTGCACAGCCTGACAGCCGCGAGCTCCAAAGGCAACGTTCCACCGCACCACGAGCATGGTCATGGCAGCTACGCAGACAGAGACCCCGATACCGAAAGGCACAAATACTTCGCAGAAGTTACAGAGAATACAATTTGGAACTCAAGCGCGGGGAGAAAGGGAGGGCAGAAGATCGTGAAGCATCACTTGTTGGCAGCGGCGATGATGTCGGCAGCGCGCTCGGCGATCATGTAGCAGACAGCCTGGGGGTGTCCGGGCAACAGACGCGGGAAGGCGCTCGCATCGACGACGCGCAGGCCGTCGACGCCGAAGACGCGGAAGTTGGAGTCCAGCACACCGGACTGCTTGTCCTTGGCCATGCGGCAGGTCGACGCCGCATGCCAGACGGTCATGAGGTTCTTCCTGATGCTTGCGAGGATCTGGTCGTCGGTGGCAACGTCCAGGCCGGGGAACGACTCGGTGCTGCTGGTACGTGTGCTCTTCATGGCGTTGGCATTGAAGACCTGGCGCGTGCGCTTGAATGCGGCGATCGCCACCTGCTGATCGACGGGGCTCGAGAGCCAGTTGGGCCTGATCGCCGGCAGGTCCTGTGTGTCGGCGCTCTTGAGCGTGACGGACCCCTCGGACACCGGCGCGACAATAGCCACCAGCAGTGAGGCGAACTGCTGGAACGTCAGGCCATTGACAATGTTGTTGGCCACAAGGTTGCTAAAGTCGCCGATGAAGCCGGGTCCGCTGAGGTACTCGATCTGCGGCCAGTCGCTCGGCAGGCTCTTGAGCGCGCTTGCACGGATGGTGTCCAGGTAGGTGCCGTTCCACTTTTCGAATGCAATAAGATCGGCAACATTGTTGGTGAAGATGCCCTGGTTGTTCAGGTTAAAGTCGGCGATGGAGGAGGCGAGGAAGATGGGGTCATTTGCCTCTTTGGTTGGCGTGTCAACGTTGACCGAGTAGGTGGGGCCAAAGAAGACGTGGTCCTGCATATGCTGGCCGACGTTGCTGTTCTCGACGACGATAGGAATGTTCTGGGCCCTGAGCTGATCGGCGGGACCAACGCCAGAGACCATGAGGAGCTGGGGCGACTGGAACGCGCCTGCGCTGATGATGATCTCCTTTCTTGCCTTGAGTGTCCCCTTGACTCCAAACGGAAGCGTATAATCAACAGCGACCGCCTTGGGCCTGGAGCCGGACGTGTCGAAGGTGACCTTCTTTGCCAGCGCCTGGAAGATGACGTTGAGATTGGAACGCTTGTCGTTCTGCGCCTGCTGGTAGAACGAGCGCGAAGTGGCACGCTTGCCGTTGCTCTTCTCGACCGTAAGCGTCGAATACTGCGCGCCCAAAATGTTGCCCGAGCTCATGTCATTCGTGGTCGGGACCCCGACTTCATTGAGACTGTTGAGCAGCGGGCCCGAGAAGGGCTGTGCGTAGTTCGGGAATCCGACGCTGACGGGCCCACTGCCCGGGAAGGCGGCAGGGTTGTACTGCGCTGGCGGATTGTCCTTGCGAAATTCGCTGCGCGGACCAAAGGCGGTGAAGGTCTTCTGGTAGTAAGGCAGGGTGTTGTCGAAGGACCACTGGCTATCTCCAGTAAGGTCGACCCAGGTCTGTTGGGCGCCCTTGGGGGGGCGGTGGTAGAGCATAAAGTTTCGTGCCGAGCTGCCGCCGATGCACTTTCCACGCGCGTAGCGCACCTTGCGGTTGTCATAGCCGGGCTCGCCTTCCGTGACGAAACCCCAGTCGATCAGACCGTTGGCAAAGTCAGAGGGGCTGGAGCCGACGCCGAAGACGTCGAAGCCAGGAGTGTCGACCAGCTGCTGGTTGACAGGAGAGCTGCGGTAGTCGATGCCTGCCTCCAGCACGGCAACAGTGACAGCCTTGTTTTCGGAGAGACGCGCGGCGAGCGTCATGCCAGACGTGCCGCCTCCGACGACGATGTAGTCGTACGTGTCAGTGGTTGGAGGGATGGGTAGCAGTCGACGTTGAAGGGGATCATCCTGTACAGGATGGGGCTGCACGCTTCCTAGCGAGACGATCAAGCCGAGGACAGCGGTGAGAGGGAGGAGTAGGCGTGGCATCCTGGCTCAGTCAGATCGAGAAGAGTACCTCGAGTACGGGTGAAGGTTGAGTGCGGTGAGGCGAGAAGCACGATGATCAACTGCAACGACGGGTCTTTTATTATATCTATCATACCGTAGCATTGAACGGGCCGCCTGCACGCGCATATGAAGCCCAGGTCGGATCAAACCATGCCGAAATGCAAAGCCTGGAGGGGCTGGAGCTCACACGATGCAACTGATCGAGTCACCGACAGGCACCCGATTCTCGCCAACAAAGGGCCCCCTCATTGTCGACCTGCGACAGCACTGGCTCCGTTGCTTTGCGTTGCATCTGCACGTGGTAGTGTGCGTGCGTTCGGCCACGCAGACAATGGCCGTGAAGCGAACAGACAAAAGGCAGGCGGACAGTTTGCGACCAAACAGCTCGGCACTGCAGGCGGGCGCTCGAACGCCGAATCCATGCTCATGAGTCGCCACAAAGGAGTATCGATCGATACGAAACCGAGAGTGCAGCGGAGTTTGCACTGAGAGGTCGTGAAAGCTGCATCGTGGGTGAACGATCAGAGATCCACAGCGACCTCGGTCGAAAACAACAGGGGACGTGCGCAAGCGGGGCAAAGCTACGCAAACAAAGGGATGGCGGCGCTAGCGTGTTCCTGGTCTAAATCTGCAGCCTTGTACGGCGTCCCGACGGCCATGCATTGGAATTAGTCTGGATCAGATCGACCTCGGGAAGGGGTCGGTTCGATATTAGCCTCGTTCGATTCCACCGTGCCCGCTCTGCGATTGGCGAGGGCGTAGTCGGGTCTGATGATCACCTCTCGCCTAGGTTGACTAGTGCCGAAGCAAGACGAGCCACGAAGAGCCCCGCCAAAACAGCTCCTCGGGTGTGTGCGGGTGTGCTTGCGGGAAGCTGGTTTTGCAACTCCGACTTGGCGTTCATGCACCCGCTCCACTAGCTTGGTTGGAACCGGGGCCGAGTCCTGTTGAGTCCTTGCCATCTTGAGATTCGCATTCGCCCTCCGCTCGTAGTACAGTGCCTCGACGATGTTGCTTAGTGCGGGGTAGCGTGGTGCGGGGTAGCGTGCTACCGCGGCACTCGGCCTTTTCAAACGCTAGCTTGTGGAACATCTTGCCATGGGAACTTTTGACGTTGCTTTCATTCCCACAAACCCTAGCATGCCCAGCATGGAATTACACTCACAGGTCGGGAACGCAGGTCTTTGTCGTCTTGCAGGCTGATCCGAAGAGTGACCAACCAGACACGTTCACTGTCAACAATCTTTCCTCAGTGTTGAGACCTCGAGGCAACTCCTTCTCTTGCCCAGCCGTACCTTGTGGCTTTTCGAGTGTCGCAGTCGGCTCGGCGGTTCAACGTGTCACTGGACCTTCACGGTCGAGCGGAAACCCTCTTTCTCGTCCTCTGTCGGGCTCAGGAGTGCCAAGATCGCGACGGCAAGGAAGGTCGGTGAGCCATGCGCAAAAGGACAACATGTTACACCGACATAACTGACAGAACTCTCGTATTTCGAGTGTGCATCTGTCAAAACTAACATCCATCAAATTTTGACAGGCAAGCTCCTCAGTCCTCCGCTCGGTTGCGGTGGCCACGTACCTGAGTCGGCGGCACGAACGTGGCGGAACGACACGCTGCCGCTCGCGAGAGCCGAGGGCATTTGCACCGCAAAATCAAGAACGGAGCACCGGCAGAACTTTGTGGCGTCCGCATTCGCCTTCGCGGATGTCCTTCCTTTTTTGAGTCTCTCCCGCCTGCGGAGCGTGCCGAAAAAGTCACGCTTGCAGCACACGCCGCGCACGTTCGCACACATGCAGCCTTTCATTTCCACCCTGCACCCTCGTCCGCCTTGCTTTGCTCGAGTCGCAGCAGAAGGTCTCTAGCGCGTGGGCCAAACAGCAGCTTCTCCCATTTCCGACATCCGACTGCCCCTGGAAGGGACCCTGTTGCTGCGGCAACACTTGTTTGACTTCTTTTCCCCTGTTCCCTTCCACCCCTGCTGCCACATACGGTCGCACGACATCCACCCCATCCGCGCCGAAGGGCGACCTCGCCACGATGAAGTTCGGTAAGACCTACATGGAGACCATGGCCGACCCTTCGTTCCCTGCGGAATGGAGGAACGGCGCGCTGGAATACAAGCACCTCAAGAAGCTCATCAACGGCGTCGTCGCCGAGCTCGAGTCCATCGGTCTTGGCGCTGATGTCCTTCGTGAGCTCCTCATCCGGCCCGAAGATGATCCGGCGAGTTCAACTGCATCCTCACCCAAGGACAAGACACGGCCGCTCGATTCGTCTGTCGACGACCGCGACTCGGCCATCGCAGACGAGTCTGGCAACAGCTCCGAACAGGAAGAGGACAGCACCGGCCGACCAAAGAAGCTCACGCCAGCTGGAAAGTGGATCAGCGACTTCTCCGTGGATATGATTCGACGGGCTTCTTCCCCTGGCGACCGCACGACCGCAGAGAACACGCCCATTGCCAACGCGCGATCTTCGACGCAGCATCCAGGAGCTTCCCAACGTTCGTCCTCCGCCACCCACCATCTCGACGTGCCGAGCTCATCCAAACAACGCAGATACAGCGACGGCGTGCAAGAGCTCTCTGCATCGCTCGAAGACAGCCACCTCGAGCCAAATGCGCGCGGTCGTGCTTCCTTCAACGTCGGTTCCGTGCCGGATCCAGAGAGAGGGGCTAGCATCGGTCGCAAGGATCTCGCCGCCATGCGAAAGAATCGGCGCCCCTCGGATATCGACGCCCCCGATCATAGCGAGCCTAGATCGCACGAACCAAGCCCGGGACACCACGACTGGACTGCGAGCAAGTGGCGTGAGGAGGCGAAGCTCGACTGGGATCCGAGCAGCATCTCTCTTAAGGCCGGTGCTACCAAGCTCTCTCCCCCACCTCGCGATCGCTCCGAGCGAAGCACCAGCCCGGCAAAGCACCGATGGGTCGAAGGCAAGTCCGGCCGACGCGCTCGTGCCGAGTACGAGCTCGGAGGCACCCCCGAGCATCCGGAGCCTCGCATTCGTCTCTTCATCGAGTCACCGCTGCCATCAGACGATGAAGAGGGTGACGAGGCCGCAAATGCCGACTCGGTCAGCCTCTCGGACGACGCAAGCAGCCGAAAGAGCATCGAGAAGCAGATCATCGAGCTTCCAGCCACACCAACCAGGCGCTTCTCCACCATTCCCGAGGACGGGCCCGAGGGCGAGACCAAGGAGCAGAAGGTCAAGCGACAGTCCGAGATCCGCAGGAAGCGCGGCACGCGATCGCGCGAGATCGTCATCCCGCTCACTGCCGACACGCAGTTCCTCGACACGCTCACCCACGCGCTCCAGAACCTGTCCAACATCCAGACGCACCAGCACGACAACTTTATGCTCGAGACAGAGTCGCTGTGCTCTGCCGTCGCACGCGCATCCAGCCCGTACGCCTCCAAGAACGACCTCTACGTGTGGAGGGAGATCTTCGGACTCTGGGTCGAGATGCAGGTGTTTGAGAGTCAGCGCGAGAAGGATCGCGGCGAGCTCAGCATCGACGAGAGCGAGGCAAGGCTCAAACGCTTTGCGCTCGAGCTCGCCAAGCGCGGTTGGATCCACGATCCCAATGCGCCCACTCCGAGCAAGAAGGGCAAGCTGGTCAAGCTCAAGATCGGATCTGGCCCCAGCAGCCAAGGGCTTCAGAACCAGACGAGCGCAACTGCCATCGAGGACTTTCTCAGGCTCAACTTTGCGCTTCTGGACGTCAAGAAGTTCCAGCGTGTCAACGTGGAGGCCGCAAGAAAGATCCTCAAGAAGCACGACAAGCGCACCGCGCTAACGGCGAGCAACGACTTGAGGACGTTTATGGCGCAGCAGGAAGCGGCAAGGCGTGCGGCGGGCATCCATCCGGTCGGTTCGGGCGGAGTGATTAACCTGCCGGTTTCGGCATTCCAGCCCGCCGAGCCGTCGGCCGGTGTCTCGAATGCGCTCATCTCGTCCGCGGCGCATCCGTCGCTCGCTGCGTTACTGCCATCGGCCACCACAGGAATCCTGTCCGAGTCGCTGCCACACATCCTGCTGTCGCTCGTCACCACGACGCTGCTGCCGATTCTGCCGTCGGTCGACGACTACAGCTGCGCGATCTGCACCTCGGTCGCATGGAGGCCTGTGCGTCTCGACTGCTCGCACCTCTTCTGCCTCAGGTGTCTGGTGAAGCTCCAGAGGCAAGGCAAGGACGACTGCCCGCTGTGCAGAGCTCCCGGTGCCGTCAAGTCTGCCGACCGCCACAACATGAACGAGGAGACCGACAGGTATCTCCAGACCTGGTTCCCGCGCGAGGTCAAGGAAAAAACAAAGGAGAACGAAAAGGACCGCCGCCAGGAGGACCTCGAGGCGCTCGGACTGCGCGAGGAAAAGTGCGTCATCCAGTAGCCTGCCCTCCATCCACTTCTATATCCTTGCGCCAGCCATTCCCCCCTACCTACACACTGTCACACTGTACACCATACCCTCACTCGTGCTTCCGTCATAGCAAAGGTCCGGCTAGAGCTCTGTCTAGCCGTAGCAAGCATGAATCGTCTGTGGCTCGTAGTCTCGGAAGCTCGATGTGTGTCTGTCACGAACAGACTGGCAACAACGATTATGATTGCCTATCGCGCCCTCGCTGACATCTGCGGCCATAGAACCTTGAAAGCACCGCATCCCGTCCGATCTGCGAAGTTAAGCAAGGTATCGCCTAGTCAGTACTGCGGTGGGGGACCACGCGGGAATCCTAGGTGCTGCAGTTCCTTTTTTGCTTTTTGGCCCTGCCAAAAATTTTGGACCGGAGTGAAGTGGAGAAGTCAGCCTCGAGCGCAAGGGTCCACCTTCCTGCTCAAAATTTGGACCGAGAAGACTTGACTTTCCACATACGCCCTCTTCGCCTTGTCTTCCACCCTCCATCCTGCATCCTCAGCATCACATTTGGCTTCGAGCACGCCGTATACGCAGCAATGAGCGGCACATCAACATTGGCCACTGCCGGGCCATCCGAGCTGCGGACTGCGCCCTCGTACGCCGGCAGATGGACCAAGCTCTCGCCACCCCTCACGCCATGGGTTCTCTCCCTGCTCGCAGACATGGGCTTTGCACAGATGACGCCCGTACAGGCCTCGACGATCCCGCTCTTCCTCTCGCACAAGGACGTGATCGTCGAGGCGGTAACGGGCTCCGGCAAGACCCTTGCGTTCGTCATCCCGGTGCTCGAGATGCTCCTCCGCCGCTCCACCAAGCTCAAGAAGGACGAGGTGGGTGCGTTGATCGTGTCGCCCACCCGCGAGCTCGCAGAACAAATCTACAAGGTGATCAACACGTTCCTCGATGCTCAAAGCCAAATGGAAGAGGCTCAAGCGGCTGCCGAGAACGACGAAGACGACGCCGCCTCGCTGAGCGAGGATGTCAGTGATAGCGACTCGGACGCACCTACCAGTCGCGCCACGCAGAAGCGTAAGCAAGCTGTCGCGCAGGCACCAAAGAAGCCGACAAGAATCGCTGGCGTGCAGCTCGTTGTGGGCGGTTCAAAGAGCACGCCGCTCGACGACTACAGAACGTTCCGTGACGGAGGTGCCGATATCCTGGTGGGAACACCAGGACGACTGGAAGAGCTGCTGTCCAAGAAGGGCGTCAAGAAGGGCGAGCTCGACGTGTTGGTGCTGGACGAGGCAGACCGACTGCTCGACCTGGGCTTTACCGAGAATCTGCACCGCATCCTTGCGCTGCTGCCCAAGCAGCGCCGCACGGGTCTCTTCAGCGCCACTATGACCGACGCACTCTCCGAACTCGTCCGCATGGGCCTCCGCAATCCCGTGCGTGTCGTGGTCAAAGTGGAGGCCAAGACCAAAGCCGGCACCAAAGCATCCTCGTCCAAAGCTGACGAGTCCAGACGAACACCAGCGTCGCTGCAGAACCTCTTCCAAGTCTCGCGTCCGGAGAACAAGCTGGTTCAGCTCCTGCGCATCTTGCTGTTCGAGAGCAGCGAGAAGGGCATGAGCGGTGGCGCGAAGAAGTTCATCGTCTACTTTAGCACGTGCGCGCAGGTCAACTACTTCTACTCGGTCTTCAGCCAATTGCCGCTGTTCAAGCAGCACCGCATGAAGCTTCATGCTCTTCACGGTAAACAGACGCCCTCCAAGAGGAAGAGCATGTTCGAGGCGTTTGTCGCAAGTACCTCCCTCGATGCAAGGGGTGGGGGAGCAACGGTGTTGTTCTGCACAGACGTGGCGGCGCGTGGGTTGGATCTGCCCGATGTCGAAGTGGTGGTGCAGTACGACCCGCCTACGGATCCAAAGGTATTCTCGCACCGATGTGGACGTACGGCTCGAGCAGGCCGACGCGGACGGGCGATCGTCATGCTCCATGCCGGTCGCGAGGAAGATCTGGTGAGCTACCTAGCAGTGAAGCGCATCCCACTCGCACCCTACCCGTACCTCTCTGCATCTCTGGAAGGAGCAGTGGAGCCAGCAGAGGAGGACAGTGATGCAGGCGCGCGCGAGCTCGAGGCTTCGATCCGCACCCTGTGTCGGCAAGATCGCGAAGTGTGGGAGCTGTCCGTGCGTGCATTCGTCTCGTACACGCGCGCATACAGCAAGCACGAAATGTCGTACATCTTCCGTCTTTCCGACCTGGACCTTGGGGCTGTCGCGCACGCGTTTGGCCTCATCCGACTCCCAGCTATGCCCGAACTGAAAGCGCGCAAAGCCGCCGGCCTGGTCTACGACGAGGAAGCCTTCGACCTCAACGCGCTAGCGTACAAAGACAAGACCAAGGAGAAAGCACGACAGGCAAAGATCATTGCCGACAAAGAAGCGGCTCAAGCCAAAGCGGACGAGCAGCCAGACGACTCGGACGATTCCGACGATTCGGTAGCCGACAAGCCCCGCGCAAAGAAGAGGGACCCAGGTGCAGGCGCCTGGTCGGCCCAGAAGGAGCGCAAGGAACTTCGTGCCGTGCGCAAGGAAAAACGCGCTGCCAAACGTGCCTTCCTCAAGTCCCAACCCCAACCCCAACCGGCCCAAAAAGACGATGATGATGAGGAAGAGGAGGACGACTGGGACGAAGACTATCGCCAACTCAAAAAGCAAAAGCGCGCCAACCGCAAGCCCACCAACGGCCCCTCGGACGATTTCGCCTCAGACTCGGCGCAAAGCGACAACGAACAACAAGAACCCTTTTTCGTCGTCTAACTTAGCTCCCCATCCAACCGCCGCAATCCCACGCTCGACCAACCGTGCACATGAATACAAATTCCAAAAGCGCCGCATAAAGAAAGGGCTGATACACCCGTAACCATACAAGAGGAGAGCAACATCGGAACGCGAGAAAGGGGAACGTGAGAGAGACTTGGAGAGAGAGAAAAGGGGGGAAGGATTCTTCTATGCGCGGACGTGAATATTGCCGGCCTCCTCCTGCGAGACTTCGGCATGGATATCTTCGAGCGACTCCTCCATCGAGACGCCGAGCGACGGGCCGTCCTGGCCGTCTTCCATGGCGCGCACCACTTCGCCCTCGAGATCGCGGCCGAGCCCGCCCTGCTCGCGCGACGACCGGCGGATGAAAATGGGCGGCTTGTCCGCCAGCGCAATCTCGGGCGCCGAGAGCGTCTTGGGCGCCGGCTTGAACTTGGCAGGCATCGGATCGTTGCACACCACCTTGACCGGGCCGTGGCGCAACAGACGCCGCTTGCTCGTCTTGGACAGCGTGGGGCCCGCCACCATCGACTCGGTCGGCTCGTCGTCGCTCTCGTTGCGCGATGCTGGCATCGACGCCTCGCTCGCAAGCGCGTCGAGCGACGCGCTTCCCGACCGCTCCGCGCCCGAGGATCGAAGAGGATGCGGCGCCGACGCCAGAACGGGTGAGGGAGAAGCTGCAATCTCGGACGCAATCGCTTCGCGCTCAGCGATCGGGTTGAAAGAGCCGCGGCGTCCCGACTGGATCGAGCGCGGACCCATGACAGTCTCGGTCGAGTCGCGCTCGATCAGCTGGGGTGGCGATCCAGGCTGGCCAGCCTTCGGGATCATCACCTCCAGCACGCCACTTCCAGGCTTCTTCGCGCCGAAGTAGTCGCCCTGCACCGGTGGCGCCACATACTTGGAGAGAGACTGTCGCGTGGACGGGTCAAACAGCCACTTGACCAACGTCGACTCGAGCGCAGCACTCTTGACCGGCTTGGAGAGGTAGTCCGACATGCCCGCCGCCAGGCACTTTTCGCGATCGCCCCGAATGGCCGAGGCGGTCATGGCGATGATGGGCGTGGTGCGGATGTCGACGCTCTCGGACTTCCGCAGTCGCTTGGTCGCCTCGTAGCCGTCGCAGTTGGGCATGTGGCAATCCATGAGAATGAGGTCGTACGGCTGCTTGCCGACCTCCTCGACCGCCTCGAGACCATCCTTGGCCACCTTGCAGCTGAAGCCCATCTTCTTGAGCGTCTTGAGCGCGATCTGAGCGTTGATGAGGTTGTCTTCCGCCACCAGGATCCAAATGTCCTTGCGAGGTCGCTGCAGAGGATTCTCGCTCACGCCAAGGCTACTGGTTGCCTCGTCCATCTGAATCTCAGGCACACCTTCTTCGTCCGGAGACGAATCGCCGCCGGCTTCGATCGAGTGCTCCTTTTCGAAGGGGATGCTGAACCATGCGTTGGAGCCCTTGTTCTCCACGGACTCCAGGCCGATGGTGCCGCCCATGAGGTCCACCAAGTTCTTGCAGATCGACAGACCCAGACCCGTACCGCCAAATCGACGGGCAAAGGAAGGATCGGCCTGGCTGAAAGGCTGGAAGAGCTTCTTGAGCGTGGTCTGCGAGATACCGCATCCGGTGTCCCGCACTTCAAAGTGGACATGGAGACTCTTCGGGTCCTCGTATGTCTCGATCACCCGAAGCGTGATGGCGCCCGTCGCAGTGAACTTGATAGCGTTGGTCAAGAGGTTAGTCAACACCTGCCGCAACCTGCCGGCATCGCCAGTGATTTGACCAGTGTAGTTGAGCTGGCACTCGTTGCGGAACTCGAGACCCTTCTTCTGCGTGGCAAACGTGAGCATCTTTTGCGTGTCCATGATGACCACGTTGAGGTTGAAGGCAGTCTTCTCGAGGTCCATCTTGCCAAGTTCGAGCTTCTCAAAGTCGAGGATGTCGTTGATTACAGTGAGCAGAGCGTCGGCGGACCGCTGGATGTTTTCGGCAAAATCGCGCTGTTCCTTGGTCAGCTGCGTATCGCACAGCAGCTCCGACAGACCAATGACACCGGCGATAGGCGTTCGGATCTCGTGGCTCATGTTGGCGAGGAACTCGGACTTGATCCTGCTCGCCTCCTTGGCCGCGGTCTCGGCGGCGAGGGCACGCGACCTCTCGTGCATCGATTCCTCGAGCTTGAGCTCGGCGCGCCTGCGATCTGTGATGTC